AGGAAAGAACCAACTCCTACAAGTTGATCTCTGACCCCCATATATACTCCATGACACACCTTCCACCACACCCCTCTCCCCATCACACACAAACACACATACAACACACACACACACACACACACACACACACACACACACACACACACACACACACACCTTCCTCTCAGTTTCATGGCAACTCTTTTTAGTAACCCACTCAGTTGAATTAGTGGTGTGTGTGTGTGTGTGTGTGTGTCCGTCCGGCCATCCACTGGGGGCATGGGAAAGCTACCAGGAACCACACCTCTTAAGAAAACTGATCAAGTACACACCAGCAGCCACCAAATGTCAGTAACTCCTCAGCTACAAGTTAGGGCTTGCTATCCCTCCCTCCTCACTTCATGCAGGAATGTTGACTAGCTTGATCTTGTGTAGGCAGCCACAGCTGTTTTCTAGTTCCTGTGTAATGGGATTACCATGTCCAGAAGACACTTTGGCCCCAGTCCTCCGTGACCTGTGACTCTTAAGTCTTTCCATCTCCTTTTTCAATGCTTCCTGAACCTTGAGGTCAGTGTATTGTATAATGTGGAGGTCCCATTCATGGCTGAGCAGCATTTCACAGACACTTGTTCTCTGTACTTAGAACAGTTGCAGCCTTGGTATTAACCACATTCATTGCACAAGCTTTGCTGATGAGGACCAAGAGCTGCACTAGTCTGTGAATGTAGAGATGCGTATTTAGAAGGCAGTTTGATACCATACCAGTATTTTGCAAAATCATAACAGTACACTCGCCTCTCAGACGTATGAGCTCCCTAGTCACAGGTTTTTGGTTAGGTTTACAGTACCAGGCATGTATAACATTTTCCTAACAGTTTATGGGCTTTAGGGTCAGACCTTTAAACTATATGCCAAAAATTCCATTAAAAAAAAAGGTGTGGTAACAGGCGGTGGTGGCGCACGCTTTTAATCCCATCACTCAGGAGTCAGAGACAGGTGGATCTCTGTGAGTTCAAGGCCAGCATGGTCTACGGAACTAGTTCTAAAACAACCAAGGTTATACAAAAAAACTTGTCCCGAAACAAACAAACAAAAAAGAGGAAGGGAGGTATTCCCAGAATCATTGTTTTTCTCAGTCTAACCAGACACTGCTTTTAAATGCAGAAGTTAGAAAATAGTGAATAATTGCAACTGTTCATGGAGGTCATTGTGTTCCTTGGTGATTACATGTTGTAGTCTTAGGTTCTGTTTCTTTGATAGCTCCATGAAATTCAATGGCTGTCTTGAATTTAATAGAATTCAGTGCTAGCAGAAAACTGGTATTGGATCTGAGATTTGGGAGCAAGGCTGTGGTACTTGTGAGGGAATGGGAATGCTTATATTCTTTATGTTGACAGAAGTCAGTTTGGGGGGCTGGAGAGATGGCTCAGCAGTTAAGAGCACTCTTGTTCTCCCAGAGGTCCTGAAGTTCAATTCCCATCAACCACATGGTGGCTCACAACCATCTGTAATGAGATCTGGTGCCCTCTTCTGGTCTGCAGGCATACATGTAGACAGAATACTGTATACATAATAATAAACCTTAAAAAAAAAAAGTCAGTTTGGGGGCATGGTTTATGGGCTTCTCCAAAGAGTATGAGCATTTTAGAGATTGGGAAGCTTTCTTAGCAATTATACACGAGTCAGTTGCGCTGAATGAAAATAGAACAGAATGTATTTTTGTCAGGTTAAATACTCCAGACTTTCTCTTCAGTTCTATGCTTTTCAGCCTCACTTAAGCTCAAGTTGCTGTTCTTGGATATAGAGCTCTGAATATTCAGTGTGTTATTTTACTCTTTGTAAATAATACACCTTTGGGGTGGGGTCTCTATAGGGTGAGAAAGACTGGCAGAAATACGAGACTGCTCGGCGGCTGAAGAAGTGTGTGGACAAGATCCGAAATCAGTATCGGGAAGACTGGAAGTCCAAAGAGATGAAAGTTCGACAGAGAGCTGTAGCACTGTACTTCATTGATAAG